GATCACAGAAGCTCTGATTGGAAGCCTCTTAAGATGTTTAAGCAGACAGAATTTTCATTTTTGGGGGGAACTATCCGTTGAATTGCATGACGTTTGGACATTGAGAAAGACCGCAAATGTTGCTTTAACCTTATTACTGGTAACCATTTACAGCCTGTCCTACCTCATTAACAAACTGTTTTAACTGTGGAGTCAGAACGAGTTTCATTCCTGCCTGGGTTTCACTAGCGTGTAGAATGTTAGCCTGAGAGATTGCATGCTCTTAGGGAATGTAGCCTACAGTCTTCTTCAAGTATGTGCTTGAGCTTTGCACAACCCCCAGATTAGGTTTTTTAGGTTGTGGCAGTGCATTTGGCTTGGAAAAATTGAAGTACAGTTTCTTGCATCAATGATTTCCTTTGTATATTAAATGTTGCTTAAATTTTAGCACTCCAAAACATTTTAGAATTAATGAAGGAGCACATGTTTTCTATTCTTGTACTTCTCAAGTCATTGTGCTGAACAGGAGTAGGAAGACCAGGTAGTGCACAGTGTGCATCAGTGGGGTTTTTGACTGACTAACTAGGGTAAATCCCTTGGAGTTAGACTCATTATACATTTCCATGATGACTCAAGGAATGTCCTTCAGTGTAAGCTTGTGCCCCCAAGGTGTTAGTCTCATTTTACCCATTTAAACATAAGCATTTTTAAAGTAAACTACAGAATGTGTTAAAGATTTAGAGGCTTGTCTTTTGAGAAAACCCTGCAGTCAGTCAGTTTCTTACAGGGGGTTGGGGGCCTTCCTGCATGTAGTGGCGTTCCTCAGAAGTGTCCTTTAAGATCTCTCGCACTCTTTCATGTCACTATGTTTTGGTCACTTGTGTTCCATTTAGCCGTCACATGGGAAAACTCCACCCAACTCCACCCCAGATAATTAGTTTCAGTGATAGAGAAGTCTCCCTCTTCCAGGAATCCTTCTGAGTGCCTGAAGATACTTCAGATACATTATACTGTTAAAGGGGAGGTGATAGACTGGTCATGGCCTTGTTTTTGTTTCACACTGCCAAGCTGTATATGTAAAAGATAAGCGTAAATAATTTTTGTTCACATTTCTTCCTTCACAAATGACACTACCCTTCAAAAGTTAAAAGCATTCAATTGATCAAACGTGTCTGTGAAACTTTCTATTCATCAATAATAATAAAAACTTTTCACAAAAATACTTTAACACATCTGTTTTCAGCATTGATAATAATAAGAAATGTTTCCTAAGCAGCAAATCAGCATGTTAAAATGAAGGCACTGAAGACCGGAGTAATGACTGCTGAAAATTCAGCTTGGCCATCACAGGAGTAAATTACATTTTTAAAATGTATTAAAATAGAGAACAGTTATTTGAAATTGCAAATATATTTCACAATATTACTGTATTTTTGATCAAATAAATGCAGTCTTTAGCAGCATGGTAGTCGTCTTTTAAAAACAATACCTTACCGACCCCAAACCTTTGAATGGTATAATCATTCAAATCATCAGGTCATTTGGACCTGTTTTTTTGTCCATCGTTTTGAGTCAGTTGGTTTGTGGATCATGTTTTGAGGGTGTTTGACCTATACAGAAATTAGTTTGTGACTCTTTTTTCAGAGACGCTCTCTTAAATATGATTTAATTCACATAAACGTCTTGCATGACCATGCACCTGCGCCCAGGTAGTTCATCACAGAGTGGCCAGCTTGCTTTTTGTTTAACCCCAAACATTATTATTCATCTCGTACAACAGCAGTGGACTGGAAGTCACACATAAATGATCATCAGTGAGTGGGTGTATATATAGACAGTGCTTTTAATCTTAACTGGAGCTATATATAGTGTGCTCTGTTCTCATTCATACATGCAGGCACACACGTGTTACATATTGGTTCTGCTTCTTAGTTTCTTGTTCATATGTGCTGATTTGTTGACTAAAACAGTAGTTTTCAGCTGGTTGGTCACTGGTCTATTTATTGGGGATGCGGGCAGTGCATAATTAGCTGCATTTTGTATTTAGCAGTTTGGTTGGCAAAATAAATAGACGTTTTAGGTTTTAAAAGTGTTGGTAAGCACAACATCAAAGGATTTACATCCAATCAAACTTTGAGATTTCTCTATATATTCATCTGAAATGTGACAAATTGGTCAGCTGCGTGACACCCGTTCATCCTCAAAAGCCATTAACCAAACTATGTAATGTTAAAGAAAATATGACTATGTTAGATACAGGTTCAAATGCATTGAGGGTAAACATGGTTCGTGCATAAACAATAAATCACTGACCACTGAGAACAGGAAACTATTGAAACTCGAGACATTTAAAAAACTAAATTGCTAATTTTCCTATTCAGCATATGTCATCTGTACAGTTTTGCATATTGTTGGACTTATGATTGTAAGGATTTTCTGTTTAGTTTTGTACAGTGTGCACCTTTTCTGTGTGTTGTTGGGTCAATAATTGTTGAACCATATGTCATTGTTGGGTTACCAGTTAAGTGATTTAATGCAAGTTTTTCCTAATGAGTGAATTAAATACTTACTTTTTGATTTTCTCTTTTTATTTAGAACTTGCCAAAGCAAGAGAATAAGTTTGGCATCAGTACAGAAATGGCTTCATATCTCGTAAAAATGGAGTAAAGACACGAAAGCTAATGTAATACCCATAGTTCTATCTCTGAAATTGTGAAAACAACCATACATGCACACCTGTAACAGCACATCGGTTGAGTTCTGTATGAATGCATATATGAACACAAGTTGTGATGTTGCTTGGCAGCTATAGTCAACTCTGCTCTGCTTTGCATTTTGCCTAAAGACAGAACAATGTTTTGTTCCTTGTTTTGACTTGTTCTGGACATGTCGAGGATGCTCTAAATTCTCGTGACGTTTACATTCACCTTTTCTCACATGTAAAAAAAAATCTAAATCCATCCTGCCTGCTGATAGTTGTGCAAAAATACAAATAAATACTCTTTACACACAAATGCATCTACAGCAGTAGCACAAAATATCTACCACCGCATGCTGTATTATCCTATTTTTTGGCATTGCCTAGTAGTTGCTATGGTTTCTGCTTTGGATTTTGCACACTGTTGCTTAAGTTCCTTTCCTGACCAACAGCAAGATGATTAACCAACAAGTTGGTTGGTGTTACAAACCGGGAAAGTTCTTTCACAACCACAGATGAGCTAGATCGTTAAAGTGAACAGTTAATTTAGTTCAACTTTTTTTTTTAATACAGATTTTCTGTTTTAGTACACACAAATAGAGAACGTAAACCAAAATATCAACAAGGAGACACTCACATTCACAGAGAAAAAAGAAAAAAAAAAGATTGCAGTAATAAAATACAAAAAATGTACAATTAACGACAACAGTTACATGAAGTCTTAGAAATCAAGAACCGCATGGTACAGATAGAAGTTGAGGTCCACTTTGGAAGTCTAGCCATTGCTTGTTTGAAGTATATTACAATCCCATTTCCTTCAATAATTTTCCCATTTGTTCTTCTGTAACCAGAGAGAGAAGGTAATTTTTTCCATAGATCATATTTGACTGACAATACTTAGAAGATCCATTTTGGAAGGGCTTCTCTTGAGCCAACTTCTAGTTACTGCTTTCTTACATGCAACTAAAAACATCTTCAAGAGCTAATTATCACACTTATTCAAACCCTCCGGACTCCGGAGTGACCCCTAGAAACATAATGGCAAATGACAAAATCTATGTTAAAGCCTATTACCCTAGATATTAATTGTCCCGCCCTTCCTCAAAAAGATTGAATATGTGGACATAACCAAAAAATGTGGGCAGAGTCAGAACCGTTTGTAAAGGACTAGTGATAGGATCAGTCTTTAGTCTGTTGATGTGAGGTGGAGAGAGATTCAGTTCACTGTTTACACCGCAAATGTAGTGTTAATTATTAATAAGAGACTTCACCTCCTGTGGACTCTTTAGCTACTTGGTGCACTTACGGTTAGAGAGAAGAGGAGCAAATGCACTAAATGTCTGGATTGTACTCATCAGTGCCATCAAAATTACTTTATGCCCTGGACATGACTTTGAAATGTTTATAACGTTTAGACATTGTTTGTTGTTCATTTGTAGCTTACGACAATTCAACTTTTTTTTTTTTTTTTCTCCTCCGCAAAATTGAAATTCTAGGTTCATTTTAAATAAAAAATAATTTGTTTATATATTAGGATGAAAAAACTATTTGCGTGTGTTTATTTATATATA